GCTTTTTTTTTTAAATTATTTTTTATATATATATTTTTAAGAGAAAGTTTAAAAGCCTCCTTGGACATTTAAAAGCACCAGTTTGTAGAATTTGAAATCTCCCCTCAGCTTGCTTCCCCTCCAGGCACTGCCTTCTGACACGCTTCCATTAGCTGAGCTTCCTCTCAGAAGCATTCAAACCAACAGCTTGAGAGAACCTAAGGAACTGCCCCAGCATCCAGAACTCTGTTTTAAAGAAAATTCCTAGGAAAAAAAACCCAGAAACAGAACAGAAAAACCCAAATTTTCTACTAAATACCAATACAAACACATAACAAAGAGTATAAAAGTTATTAGTTTAAATATATACAAACTCTTTTCAACCCAAATACTGCTTCCGTGGTTTTGGAGGAAGAGACAATGAGGTGAAGGGGACAATTTTATGCAGAATATATTGCAACAGCCTGAACAGTACTGTCAACGCTATGATACCGCGACCTTTCCATAGCAAAAATGTCCTTAGTATTGCAGTGTGGACAGGTCTCTGTGTCCCGAATGCTTGGATCACTTCTCAGCTGAGCTCATTCTTTTTGACTTAATGAAGGCCATGCCGTGTGTTCTCATGTGAGTGTTTAAGGCTGCTTCCGTTTCAAAAGTCTTTGCGCACACTTTGCACCTTCTATCTGACGCCACACTGTTGGACGATTCGTCCTCATGGCTGGGTTTGTTTTCTTGCTGATTATCCTCTCCTGACCCGTTTTGTTTTGATACAGGCTGAGGCTCCTTCAGCTTATGTACAATGAAGAGGTGTCTGGAGAGAGACACGTGAGATGTGTAGCACAGTCCACATTCCCTGCATTGGTATGAAGAGCCATCAGATTTGTGCTGAGGAATATGTTCGTGAAACTGGAGGAGATTTTCTGTGGTAAAGCCACAGACAGCACACTTGTGAACTTTAAAAACATTTATCTTTAGCTTCTTCAGCGGCTGCGTGATTGCACCCCGTGGAGGCCTGAATTCCAGTACAGCTTCTTCCAGTTTACGCTTTGGACTGGGAACCTGGAAGAAGCCATAAATGGTGTTGTGTTAAGAATACACACACAGTTCTTGTTCTAACTACATGTGACTTGCAAATTCAAAACCTTTCCCTTGGGACTTCCAGTACAGCTCCAGCAAATACGACATGTGAAAGAGCAGAAGCAGATCTATTTGGTACATGTTGGACACCTAGGGCTTTTCTTGACTGTGACTGACGATTTGGTTTATCAGCTCTGGTTGTTAATACGCTGTATAAACCTGACTATTTACCAGTGTAACTGCACCCACGTATGTACATCGATGAGATGGCAGTTGTGTACAGAATGCAGAGTATCCATCGAGGAACTTCCCAGTACTGACCTCTGGAACTCCATTTTACTTACTTATTTCATGCCTGAAATTCAACTTGACCGATTGTCAGTAACCAACTAACATGTTACCGAAGGATGAATCAACATGCACAACTTTGAAACTAATTAAACTGATTATTTTTTATATTCCACTTGTTATTCTTCTGACATAAATATTCCCCAGGAATCCTCTGCATCCTGTGGTGCCCAGCTATGCTCCATTATGTCTATGAAGACAATGTGTATAGCTGCTGGTAAGCTATATTCTCCACCACTCAGGGATCAAACCAAACAGAGTCCTTTCCAAAAACATGTTCTAGTTCAAGCAGGACAGAATTTGTTGCAGGAACCTCTGAGACACTTTTTGGGCTCTACTTAACAGCAGCTCAGACTTTTACAGGCTCAAAATACCCACATCTACTTAAAGATCCTGAATGTGTACCCACAAAAAAGCCACTCTCAGTGACTGCATGAATCTTTTCAGCGATTACCTTTGTGTCTTCTTTTACTTCCCTTTCTTCCATACTGGCCGATTCTGTCATTTCTTTCACATCTGGGTCTTTAATGCCATGCATCAACTGAATGTGTTTTTCCAACATCAGCCGCTTGGTGAAAGTCCGCCTCGACTCTGGGCAGTGCCTACACAAACACAAAGCAGACATGCAGATATCAGGAAGGAATTCTTCCCGCAGAGGGTGGGAGAACTGGGACAGGTTGCCCAGAGAAGCTGTGGATGCCCCATCCCTGGGAGTGTCCAAGGCCAGGCTGGATGAGGCTTGGAGCACCCTGGGCTATGGAAGGTGTCCCTGCCCACGGCAGGGGGTGGGACTGGGTGGGCTTTAAGGTCCCTTCCCACCCAAACCGTTCTGGGTTTCTGTGATTCTATGACTCTATGCACATACGCCAAGTGTCACACTGGGCAAACACCGCAGTATTCGCAAGGATATAAACAGGACTAGTAAATAAAACCAGACCACAAGACAGTGTATTAACACTGGCAACGATGTTTCCCAGTGAACTACTACAAGACAATGAGCACCGTTACAAAATAAAACTGAAATGTTTGAGCAGTTTGTATTCAGAGCAAATGCAAAGTTCTCTGCAGGTAATAGCCAAATGGTGCAAAGAGTGAGCCAGAGTAAAACCTGGGAGCATCCGAGTTGGTTCCTTGGACCTTTGCTAACATCACTTGATTCGACACTTTCCCAAGTTCTCCTTAGTTCACATTTCACAGGGAAAGCAACGACCAACCACACGGGATGAACACTAACTCCAAACAACACTTAATTCTGTGTTCAGACCCAAATACTTCATCTTGAAACTTGCAATTCCTTCTCAGCTCCTGTTTCATCCTCTACCCAACCAGCACAAGCTTGTCTTTCACAATCTGCCTTGCTCTCCCACACAGAACCAGTTGCATCACTTCTAAACCTCTTGTGTGCCTTTGGAAAGCGTATGTCTCCGAGCTCCAATGTTGTAACATAGGGCACGGGGGGCGTGAGGAGGGATGGCTGAACAAGAACTGCAGGGGACAAGTTAAAGGGTCATGCTCCCTTTCCAAGTCTCTCCTCAGCATTTAACTTCTGAAATGCTGTTTCATTTAACTGCAAGTGCTCAGCTCCGCAGTTTCAGGTTTCCTTGCCAAGGCCCAGGAGGAGGAACTGTTCCCTAGAGGTGTTGGCAGCAGCCCGCTGCGTCTCAGGCATGGGGGTAGCCTGGACACCTTGGTCTGCTTTTCTGTCTGAATAACTGATTCATTCCAATGAATTGAGGCACCAGCTTTTATATGTGAGGACAAGAAATTCAACTCACATTTTTGTGGGTTTATACTGTTTCTAAATAAATAAAAGTGGAACTTACGAGCACGTATAAACCTTTCTGATGCCTTTGTGCTTGATACGGTTGTGGCGACACAAACTATGGGATGAGCTGAAAGATTTATCACACTGTCGACATGGATGTTTCTTCATTTGCTTTAAAAAAAAGGAGAACGATACATTAATTCAAAAAGCACAGTGAAAGCTGGGCATGTGTTGAGCCTTTGGGTAATGGGAAAGAAGCTTCACTTACCGTGCCTGGTACTGGATCTGCATGTACATGCCACTCCTCCACTGCACAAGCCAGAGCGGGCTTGGACCAGCACAAGACACACACACACACCAGGTGTAAACCTGTGTCACAGACTGGATGAAGTGGGTTTCTACCACCAAAACTTCAAGGAAGATCAGTGGATTGTTTCTGCATCAGTAAAGCAGTCACTTTCCCATGAGGTGACCTTTCACTTCCCAGCACCAGCTACATCAGCAGCTGCTGACTGAGCAGCTACTGGCCACGTGAAAGGAGGGCAAGGAGCATGTGGCAAGGACCAGCGCCACCATTACGGGCACCAACACTAAGAGGGCTCAGAAGCATCATGAAGAAATGTCAGGTACGGTCTGACGTCCACCTGAGGAACACCTGTGTGGGGAATTCCATGGGTTTTACTTTAGTTTGTGACGGGGAAGGAGAAAACGAAGGAAGCTGGGAAGGATGGAGTGGTCTGCAGCTACCTCCTTTTGGCTGGACACGGCCACAGGAACGCTAGTACTGGAAGAAATAACATCTCCAAATTTGCAGACTGACAAGTCTCAAGAATGAATGTCAGGGTCCTGTCCCTCAATTCCACCAGTGCTAGATCTCCATCCCAACAACATGTCTTACTGACCAGGGTAGCTACAGTGAGGAAGCAGAAATATTCCCAGTCAAATTTCCTGCTTCCTTTCTCAGGTAACTAGGCTGTTCCTATTGGCAACTTCTGTTGCAGTAATGAGGAAATAATAACAACCTCTCGGAAATGAAATCCAAACACGGACCAAACACATTAAGTGAACAGCAGATTACTTTTCAGTTTACTGTTCAACAACCCAGTGGGGCCAGGATCCCACACTCATCATTCAGTATAATCACATTCCTGCCAGAATCAGGGTGTCCTGGGGCCAGAGAAGAAATGGATTTTATTGGAACCCCTCAGAGAAATCCAGATTGTGTGGACTTAGATTCCAGGTGTTCCAGCCTGCGAGGGCTCATGCCTGCTACGCAGGTACAAGCAAAGCCACAGATAGTCTCATACCAACATCAGTCAGGTATCCAGAAGGAACATTGCGTTCCTTGGATTGCTTTGCCCCACTCTGGCAGCGGTCATGGTTTTCCTTCACAGTATCAGTAACATTCTTTCCTGCATTTATTGGGAAACTGGGAAACCCAAGTCATGTAACTTTATTCTACTATTCCAACTGAAGCCATTTAGCGAGGCACTTGGATCAGTGCCTGAAACTGGACCCATCTTGACTCTTCCCGAGAATCCACCCAAGATCTGTCCCTGTGTTACAAAGCACTCAACAGCAGAGCTTTTCTTCACAGAACGTGAAGGGTTTGACTCACTTATTGATACCCCTGAGGAAGTGACAAATTCCTAAACAATGAAGCACAATAATACACATGGACATCTCAATATGACATGAGTCATTCCCATCAAGACCAAAATTGGATGGCATGGGGGAAGGAAAGAGCAGCAGTTCTGAAAGGTCATTCATGCAAAGTCTGTTAGGAAACACGACCAGGTGGTTTCACTGGGTCCAGCCAACATGTTAGAGGTCCAGACTTGTTCGTCCTAGACATCCTTTCCACGTTTGAAGGCCAATTAAAATAAAAGGGAATCAACATATTTTGCTCTTCAGTTGCTAAAGGGGAAAACCTGACTACGGACACAGTGCATACTCATTAATGCTGATGTGTTCATCACTGCATATTGCAGTCTATGACTGTACCACTCTGGGAAGGATTTATAAAATACCCTTGAAGTCTGTGCAGAAAGAGCCCTGCGCTTTGCTGTACAAAGGCATAAGCCCAACTCCAGCACCATACGGACCTTTGCTGAGGACCTGCACAGTGCAGGTGCCTCACAGGCTCACTCAGAAGAGCTGCAGGACAGAGCTCAGCAGGACCCCAGTGTGCATGGCTGCCTTAGACAGTGCCCCGGCAGCTCTGTGGGAGACACCACCCCCTTTTTAAAGTCCTTGAGAAGATCTGGATGGGGACCCAAGTAGGATTTTGGATGTACTAGTTTCTGCAAAGGCAGCCAAACCCCAAAGCATGAGAAAATCAGTTCTGTCATTGGGTGCAGCATGACCCGCTGCACAGCATCTTTGGAGGAGGAAGGAGGACATTCAATTAGATGCACAGCAAAGTGGAATCGGAGAAGCAGTTCCTGCTTAGAAAACATCTGTCCCAAGTCCTAGGAAGCTCAGCGGGCTGTGGGTGAGCACACACAGACACAACCCAGTTTCAAGCCAGCAGCCCGTACATGCAGCCTTGTCAGAACCACCCTGTGTCTGGGGTAAGAACATTTCTTGTTTTTAAACAGTGGTTTGAAGATGAGTCACACCAAGGTGGCTCCGGATTTTTCTACCCTGCAGCTGGCTCACCTTCAGGAAGAGGACACGGAAAATGGGAATCTGTCTGTCTGTACACATTTCCTGGTAAGGTCTGGAAACTCAGGAATCTGCGCAAAGAGGACATACATGGCGATACCTCCCCTACACGTAGGGCTGAATAATCCAGCCTGGGACCACCTAAGAAGGGCTACAGCTCCAGACTTTCACCCTGATGCTCAAGAAGTAGCAAGTAGAAGTTTGAAACTATCTTCAAATAGACTTCAAATGCTTAGTTAACATTTTTAAGCAGATCATTTACAGCATTTAACCCACACCCATTGTTCTTAAGAAAGACAGACTACGAATTAATTCAATTATTTACTAGACCTTTATCACATACTTGGTTATCTCATTTCCAGTCTCTCCACAACAAAATGCAGCTGTAAAAGTTTAGTTTCTGAGAGTCAGCAATTACTAACACGTTTGAGAGGTCTGGACAGAACACAGAGGCTGGTCTCTACCAACCATTTCTGCAGGGAGTTTCACAGGGAGGTTGCATTGTTTTGTTTTTAAGAACCGCATCTCTGTAAAATGCATCTGGTCTGACTTCTGTTTCCTGGCAGACGCACTGGTTGAGTTAATGTTTCGACTAACAGGCAAACCAGAGTGGAGCCGCAGTTGGCTTTGACACAAAACTAAACTATAATTGCATGAGTGTTGCAGGATCAGACCTTTTAGTTTCATTTAATTGGAAAAGCTGTGGGAAGCAGCAAGGACATCAAGCTGTCTTTCTGCTGACTTGAAGCATTCCTGTTTTTCACTTCCAATCTATTTTAAGGAAGCTATGGCAAATCCAGCTGCTTTAAATACAAAATGCGAACCTGTTCACCTCAGTGGATGTGTTGGCTGAAGCCACACCGGTAAGATCAGAGCAAAGGCTTGGCCTTGGAGTGGGTCTGCTTTAAGATGAAATGCTGTCTGGCACCCACTGGATCAGCACAACACGACTCTATTCCCCAAGTCTAACACTAATGAACTTCCAAGAGAGGGGACTGCACATGGGTAGAAGTAAGAACCCAGATCAGATCAGGTGACTTGGACAACTGAAGAAATTGTGGTACTGGAAGAACAAACCCACAATTAGTAGAGCATGTGGACTTTCTCAGTAGAAAATGACAGAAACTAAGCATGCAAAGAGAGAAAGAGGAAATACATAAGAGAATGGACAAGCATAATGATGGAAATTAAAGTTGTGCAAAAAACCAACTGAATTTGGAAAAAAAATTACTTCATATTTCATGTTTAATTCACTTTTTTTTTTTGAAAGTGAGTATTATTCATTTACCTTTCCATGTTCCTTCCTCATGTGAGAGATGTAAACGTCTCTCTGAGTGAAGAGCCTGTCACACTCCCAACACGTCCAGCCAGGATTAGCGACTTTTTTAGGCTCCGCTTTCTTTATGGGAGAGGGAGATTTCTTCTCCAACTTTTCTGTTCCGTTGACAGACTTTGCATCCTCTTTGTTGTGACCAGCTGAGTTCTGAGTTGTGGGTTTAGTACTGAGAGGCAGATTTATCCCCAGGTTTGGTGGCCCCTCAACACTTTTCAAAGTTCCATGCATAGACTACAATGAAGGAAAAAGAAAAGTACAAAACTGACACAGGCGTATACAGCTGTATCGACGACATGACTTTGTAGGTTAAGTTTAAATTGCTGTTTTGTAGGGAGGAAAAAAGGGCCCAAGAAGTACTTTATGTTAAGTTTAATTTCTCACTTTACTCACCTATAAGCCAAGCATCCTCATTTCAAACTATGTGAGTAGAATTTTCCAAGAAGGAAAAGTTTTAATGACAAATTTTGCCTAGGCACATAGGGAAATCAGACAAGAAAAGCAACTCAGGGAAAGATCAGGCAACTGTATCATTTAGGATACGTTAATATATTACAGTGAGGCTGAGTTAAGCCCTGTGTACTGCACGCTCAGGTTATGAGTGCCTTGGTAACAGTACTTAGAACCAAAGGTGTGCAGGGCTCATGGCATCCCCAGACCAGGGGCCAGCCAAGACGTGTCTAATGTGCTGCTCTCCAACTCCCCACAACTCTTGGGTGGCGACCCTTCCTCACTGATGCATTTCTATCCTCTCTGTAGGCAACCAGTAAGATGGGAAGAACTCTTCCACCTCCTCCTTCCCCAGTTTCTGGAGTCAGTGTCACATGATGGTACGACACCCGAGTGCCAAAGGATGACTATGCACATGGACACTGGAGGGAGTTGGCAGGGTCCAGGCCAACCAGGGTGCCTACAGACCTGACAT